TCCATCGAAATATTAAATTTCTTGCTTTTATGAGTACATCCTCAACTTTGCCACGTGACTTCGAAAGTGTTGTACCAGCTAGTTGTAGCATTATTAATGTTGATTTGACTTTACCTAATCCCAATTTACTGTAAACAGAATATGGTATTAGATTTATAGTAGCACACGTGTCACACAATGTATTATAGCACAAGAATTTCCAATTGAAATAGGCAAAGTAAAACTCCTTGGATCTTTCAACTTGAGAGGTAATTTGTTTTGCACTCTTGCACTACTTTTCTCCATTAATGCCACAATTTCAAACTCCGAAAGCTTTCTTATCTTTGTCAACATCTCTTTCAAAAATTTTGTGTACCTTGGAATTTGTAATATCGTATCAATCAACGGAATGTTGATCTTGAGCTTCTTGATAGCATCAAGAAATTTTTCAAATTTTATGTCTTGTTTGTTTTCCTTGAGCCTCTGAGGAAAAGAAATGGGAGACATGTAAGCCTTGACTGGACTTAGTACCTTGACATTGGATGATTCTATATTTTCTTCATTCTCAATTGAGGTGGATTTTTCCTCCATTATAGCTTCATCAACATCTTCCTGGTCATCATTTCTTTCTGGTTGTTTCACAGTAAACTCTGGTAATTGTGCCCCCATTCCTTGTAGTTATAGCATGAATATTTTCCCCCATTGACTTCTTTTGAAGTCTTTGGGGGAAATGGAGGTGGAGGTACATATGCAACATAACTTTTATAAGAGCCTTGGGTAAATCATTTTCTAATTCTCTTATTGCCATCATTTGCTCTTTAGGATTTGTCATTGTATTGCTTGGCAATGATCCTTGTGGACGTTCTGAAGTTGTTGAGCTATCTGACCAATCTGTGTCTCCAACTTTTTGATAGATGCTTGTTGATTTTGAAAATTAGTATCAAGCTATTGGAATATTTTGTTTATTTTCTACACATATTGATGAAATATCTCTCCCACACTTGGTTTGTTCTCCTGTCGGGTATTATTTGAACCATTCCCTTATTGATTATCTAACCATCTGAAATTTGGGTGCTATCTCCATCCTAGGTTATATGTTTGCCAATGGGTTAAAATTGCGGGACCAATTTTGAATGAAGTTGACTTGTTCCTCGAGAAAGCCCATAGACATACAATTTTCTGTCAAATGGTTAGCTCTACAGTTTCCACATAATGGATAACCCATCACTATATGTGCTTCTCTCGTTTGTCATTTCACCGATAGCTATTCCTGCTTTATTAATGTTGCTATCTGCGCATTGGTAGATGATGTGCTATTTAATTCGTACATCCCAGATTTTCTCGGTGGTACTACTATTTCTGATAAAAACATTGAATGTGTAGTGGCAATTAACTCAAATAAACTCTTAGTTTGTTGTATCGATTTTCCATTGATCAATCCACTAGTAGAGGAATCCACATGAGATTTTGACAGTGGTGAGAGTCTGGTGTAGAAGTACTGCACTTGATTACCTATTGTGATTCTATGATTTGGACACTTTTACATCAGTTTTTTTGAATCTGTTCCATGCCTCGTGATAGCTCTATCCATTTTTCTGTTGGAAAGTTTGAATTTTCAATTTGATTTTAGCTACTTTTGTCAGTGGGAAGAATTTGTTGCAAAATTTTCTGATCAATTCTTCCCATATAGTAATGTTTCTATGAGGTTTGTCGTCTAACCACTCAAATGCAGCATCTCTCAGTGTATATGGAAATAATCGCAACTTAATAGCGTCTTCTTTAACCTTCGGAGCGTGAAAGTTCTAACAATTTCTGAGAAATCTGTTGATATGCATGTTCGGATTTTTATGAGGTAGCCCGTAGAATTGGGTCATGTTATGGCAACTGCGTTTATGAAATAGATCCATGTGGCGGTGGTGATGGTATATTGCAAGTGATGAAAGCGCATTGGAGTTGATATGTGTGGTGGTGTTAGTAACATTTTAGGTACTATGTAGTGGTAATAATGGTGCATTGTAAGTGACTAGATTTGTGACTAACTGTGTTTTCTGTTACCAAAATTATTTTTTGCGATCAGACTTATGTTATATGTGACTAATTGTGATTAAATTATTTTCAGTGTGACTATTTGTAAATATACAATTTGTGACTGTATGTAACCAAGTCACTAATATGTGTTATCTTTACTAACTGTGATCAAATTTCTCTCAAGTATGATTAATTGTAATCAAATTTGTCTTCAATGTGACTGTGTGTGACCGGATGAATCTTAATTATAACGGTATGCAATCAAGTCAAAATCGATCACAATTAACATAAAATTGGTCACAATCTCTCCCACCTAACATCACCGCACATTGCCACACAACCACTACCGTAACCCACCACCACAACTACCACCAACACCTTCAACAAACCCCAACCACCACCACCACTAGCACCACCGCACAAGCACCCCGTGTAGATAAACACAATTGTAGATTCATACCACCCACAAATCTACACACACCACCACAGATATTAGCACACACCATGCATAGATCTGCACAAACCACTGGAGCCTCCACCACACACAAAAACTAATGAGTGCACCACCAGCATTACTACAGCACCAGCACCACATGTAGATCAACACAACTACAAATACGGTTCAGAGCAAGGTACCGCTACACAACTATAAGTTCAAAGCAAGGCTCCGCTACTCATAGGAGCAGTGGAGACTTGCTGTAAAGCAGTGATACACTGTAGCTGCACAAACAACAACAGCGCCTCACTGCGTGCTACAAGTCGTCGTTGCGCGAAGCGGAGCCAAAATATAGAAAGGGTAGGGTGGGTAGAGAGGGTGATAAAGAGAGAAAATAGAGAGATGGAAGAGGGTGGGAAAAGATTTAGGGTTTGGAAATTCAAAAGATAAATTATCACCCGATTATTGAAGAGGTTTGATTTAACTTTAACTTTGAAATCTATATTCATTTTGATGTAAATTTCCTTATAATAAAACATAGAAGACCACACGAGAAATAAAATGAACCAAGAAACATAAAGACACCAAAAAAAAAACTTTACGCGTTAAATTTATGCTCCTTCCTCAACAATAATTGACCTTGTAAGGCCTAATAAAGAAAATCAAGTTGATTATGTTCTTAGCAAAATAAATAGACATAAAATTACACATAAAATATCTCATTTTAAAATCAATGTAAAATTATAGATAAATAGTAGCAAAAACTAGGGTTGGACAAAACTCCCGAATCGAACTGAACCGAATCGAGCCTTTTTTCATAAGTTCAATACCTGAACGTGTATCTAAATTGAGAATCGATGGGTATGGTTCAGTTCTTGATTATGGGCCCAGAATCGAAGAACCAAAATTAAATAATTTTTTTAATTTTTAAAATTAAATTTATTAAATTATTTTAATTTTTTCTAAAAAAATTTGCAAATTAACTAATTTAGTGATTAATGTTCTAACTCTCAAGTCAAATCCATGTATACCTAGCCCAATCCAACCCAATTTCTAAATTTAATTTTTGATTTAATTTTTTTGCTCAATTATTAATTTCATTATCAGCCCAAGATTTAGGACTTTTTAAGTTTTTATTCGTCTATTTTCAATTTCACATTTTCATTCGGTAACCACTGAGTCACTGACCCCAAATCATTTGATAAATTGAAAACCTACATCTATATGCCCAAATTGAAGTCCCCGACTGTTGAGTCTGACTTCCATTCTCCAACTGCCCATCGAAGCAGCGACCTCTGATCACGACCACCGATCGTTGACCATTAGAAATTTGTTAAAAAAATTAATTATGGTACGGAATCGAACTGAACCTGAATGGTTCCATAATTATATTTGGACCCGACGGTTCTATTTATTAGATACCTAAAAATTTTGGTAGAACCGAACCGAATCGGATCATATCCAGCCCTACCGAATACTAATAAGAATCGTAGAAATAGAACCATTGGTTCCATATTTAACTATTCAATTCTCATTTTTAACCACACATTTTTCAATAAAATAATATTTTCCATCACATCAATAATTTTTTCTTCTTTTTCCACCACACATTTCCCATCATATCACTATTCAAAAATCAATTCTTCCTCAAAAAATCTCTACCAAATACACTGTAAATACCCAAAAATTTTGATCTCTTCAGAACCGAACTGAATCGGGTCATGTACAGCCCTAGCAAAAATGCATCTTTTATTGGATTGATAAATACAGCCATAATTATGCGTTTCGATTTCCATTTTTCTTCTCAAGATTTTATATTTAATATAAAAATATTAATTATTACTATGGTACTCATAATTTAATAAATACACAGCTTTTTTAAAAGGCTAATATAATCCCGGAAAAATACCCTTTGTACACTCCAAAGTGTACATCATGTTTAATTCTTGCCTTGTTATATAAAAATGATTGGAGGGAAAACTGTTTATTTTTTGAAACTATCAAACTTGGTATACACCAAGCATGATTGATAATCTCGTACCAATTATTTCATCGTGAAGATCAAGAGAGATGAAAGTCTCCTTGACTTCCTCCAACAAATTGAGAATATTGAAATAGTCAAAATGTAGCTCCGCTGGATAAAATATAATTCTCAATTCATGCGATCTTTAATTATAGATTATTAAATGATCTCTTTGTACATAATAAATTGAAGAAGATCTAGCTAATTAAACTTCCCCCAGTCTCTTTAGAAGCCAATCTTCTGGTGATGAGGTCAATTTTCTTTTTTCTTTTTAAACAAAGCATTATTATTTTTTAATTAGACCTAATATCGTAAAGTATAAGCTTTTCCTTCAAGATAAATTTTTCGTAACATCATCAGTCTTACTCTGTAATGTGCCAAGAGTAAAGGGAAATATAGTGTAAAGATATATTCATCACAACTGCGTAATAGAAATTCCTGTTTGTGTCTACACAATTATTAAGTGGTCGTCATATATTTTTATGCATACAAATTGCACACATATTAATTAAACTCTGTGGAAGCAGCTTCTCTTCAGACATTATATAAAGCTTTGATTCCTTGTATATCATCAGCATGTAAATTTTTTATCGCTCCAGCAGGAATTCCCGAGAACATGATTGCATCTTGAACCGAGCTGTGTCCTAGTCCAAGAAGGTGCCCGATCTCATGCAATGCAACAGTTTCAAGATCAAATGAACCCGGGACTTGACCAATGGACCATGATTCATCTGCATCATAGTGAAACCTCCCGTCAGTTGGGGGAAAAGCATGAGCCAGGACCCCACCTCGGCCATCAAACGGGGATCCATCTCCATGATCACCTGTATGAAATCCGATGACCAAATTTGGATTCTGAGACGATGAAAATGTGAAATGTGTTACCGAAGCCCATTTTTCGAAGGCTCTTGACACCGGGCTCATGGCATTTGCAGGAGTAGAGGGTAAAAACCCATAAGTTAAGTGTGTTGATTCAGATGGCCATCTAGGGTTTCCTGGTAAAAAAGTATAATGCGACACCGTATGGAGGGAGCCTGAACCTCCATTTTTTCTTCCTCCTGCTCGCATTCAGCTTGTTCCGTTGACACTGTCGGCCACCCCACATCGAGGTTTCATCTTGCGACACCGTATGGAGGGAGCCTGAACCTCCATCTTTTCGTCCTCCTGCTCGCATTATGCTTGTTCCGTTGACAATGTCGGCCACCCCACATCGAGGTTTCATCATATTGGACACCGTTTCAGAATCCAGAACTCCAGTGGCATTTATATGGTAATTGAACTGGTAGAGTTTGACAGCAGACTCTAATATATCATCAAATTCATCATCATTTTCATGGGTTTTGTTTCTTGAATGATGATAATCAAGATAACCATATTTCTCGAGGTACTTTTTCAGCTTGTGAATGTCCTTCGTTTTCTCGCCCTTGTGGCACCCCTCCAAATGTTTTAGGAAATCAAAGGGGAGAGGTTTTTTGTTACTTGGGCTTACTGTTTTCTTTGCATGGCAAGAGACAAAAAGGAGTAGTAAAAGTAGAAAGACGCATGAGAAGATGTGAGAAATTTTAACTGCCATGAGTGAGTTTGAAGGAACGCTTGAAGGATGGTGTGTTAGGTTAAGTTATGTTTGTGCCTATTTATAGACTCGCTTGGAGGGGGAGGGAGAGAGTTTTCTCATTCTATATTTACATGGAAAGTTTGCATGAAAGAAAAAGGAAGGGAAAAGGTAAATTGAATGTCTGGTTCCCTAATATTTTGGATCAATGGCAAGTTGGTACGTAACCTATTTTACTAGCATTTAGCTCCTCAAATTTTTATTTTAGTTTCACTTGTGTCTATTGTATGGAAGCCCTCCAAATTTTACTTTGAGTTCGACGAAAGGACATTATGCCCCTCTTTGGTGTAGATTAAAATTAGATTTTCATTAAATTTTGTTAAAAATTTATGAAACATGTGATTAAAAAGTTATGAGCTTATGTAAAATGTGTGGTTAAAATTAATTGATGATTTTGACTTTAAATTTTTTTCAACTTTTAATCTATTCTAAATAGGGATTATATATATGTAATGTGAGGGCATAATATATTTTCATATTTGGGACAAAGATCGAGGATTGGGGGTTTGGGAGTCTATGTGTTGTTGGGGTTCATAAGTGCATATCGGGAGTTAGAGCGAGGCGGGGGTTGTAACATATTGAGAGAGTGAAGGAAATGATGATGATGACGATGATCAAGAGCAAAATTACACTTTTTTCAAGAATTATATTATCTACTAACCTTGGAGGTGGCTAAAATTTATATAGTTTTAATTAAACGAGTCATTTAACTAATTTACATTTAAATGAATTTATCATTTAATTTCATGTAATTATCACTTAAACTGGTACTTAGAATGAGTGGTGATGAATATTATTACTCTTTTCTCAAATATATCGATGGATTGAGAAGGGATGAAGTCCTTTCGTCCTCTACAAAATAAATAAATAAAACAAAAAGTAAATTTGGATGGTTTCATTTCTGAAAAGGAACATTGAGAAGCTAAATTAATGTCAAGAAAAAGTTGAAAACTAACCCACAATTTGGATACCTTGCTTGCAATTTATCCGGAGAAAAATAATCTTCCACGTAAACAACACGGAAGAGGGAAAATTATCTTCTTTCCGTGTCTTGCAAATGTTAATAACTTGACTTACTAATGAGAATGAATAAAAGAATTGTAGATCTTCCATACAGCCAACTTTCCAAGTTGGGACTGCAAATGAATTGACTAATTGAAGTGTGAAACATACTAATTTTTCCAGTCAATTCAAGTGTGAAATACTAGAAATTGAAGGAGGTATGATACGACTTTATTATATTAAGTTTAACGTACTGAACAAATCGTACCGGCTTATGAAGGTGGTATTTGCTTATGAATTCCAAGGAGACCGAAATATTTGAAGACATTTGATTTACTCAACAAATTATAAGAATCTCCTGTTGAAATTCTAGAAGACTACTAGAAATGCATGTTGAATATAATCTCATAATATAAAGTCGCTGTCTGGTGAAAATTAAAATTGATTGAAACAATAAGAGAGAACACTATTGAAAAATTTCATTGCGAGAAATTGAGTTTTAATTAGAAACCCACGAAGAAGATTATAATATTTGGTTGGAGCTCATGAGATTTCGAATTTTGTTGATTCTCTTCATTTTCACACACTTTTCATCCTCACATACACGCTATGATAGAAGCAGTGTATTTCACATTCTTGATCCTTACTTATCTTTTATACTGGAATCATAAATGGGTTGTTTCCTCATTACAACCACATATTTCATGGGATCCACAATACTTCTATCATACACTTCATCAATTTTTAGCAAAATTTAATAAAAATCTGATTTGAATCCTCACACCAAACTTTTGCCAACAATATAGTGTTTATGTTTTCTTGCATGAAGTAATTTAAACACTAAATAAATCCTTACATCGATACCATATTCACCTAATTGGATTATTTCATTTGAAAGAACAAAGTAAAAATAGAATAAGATTTCATCTATATATTTAAAATGCTCTTCACATGTAATATAGGGGTGTTAAAATAGATTGAGCCGAGCAACTTAATCGCTCCACTAGCAAACTCGGTTCGGCCTACCATGCAAACCAACTTGCACTAGTTGGCTCGCTTCACCGAAAGTGAGCTTGCTCCTTGATGGGCGAGTCGAGCTGTGGCCTACCATGCAAACCAACTTGCACTAGTTGGCTCGCTTCGCCGAAAGTGAGCTCGCTCCTTGATGTGCGAGTCGAGCTGGCTTAGGGCTCATACTTTTTTATTTTGTATTTGAATTGAACATTTTACTTCGACTTTGAAGTATAATGATGTAAATTTATAAGAAAACTGTAAACATAAAAATTTATGTTTCATCAAAAGAATTATATATTTATTAAAGTTTCTTCCTTTAATCGTAATTGGGACCGGTTACAATACATAAACTGAGATAAGATTGTACACGTACGAGTATTTCATGCACTATTTTTTTTTTCTAAAAAAGAAAATGGAATGAAAAGTTAATGTACAGTAATAAATCTAAAATCTAGTGTAACAAAAAATCCGTGAATGATATAATTGGTGAAGGAAAATATAAATTTTTCGTCAAAAATAAGGACATGTTTGGACGTTGCCGTCCAAGAAGGTCAAAAGTGCGTTCTGCATCTAAAATGGAAGGTCGGAGAAATAAATTTCAGGAAATAAAAGCCGAGGATCGTTCTTGTAATTTACCAAAAGAAGAATAGTCTTTCAAATAATAAAAAAGTGTAAATTTTCCAGCCGATGACCAAGTCTAGAAGTGATAAAAAAATTGTGTGTATTTTTCCGGACGATTGCCTTTTCAATGGGTTTACTTAATAGGGATATAGGAAAGAGTCCAAAAATAATTGGAGAGCAAAATTCAAATACGTTCAACATATCATTTGTTGTACCCTTGTTCTCAAAATTTATATCATAAATAACCATATGATGTCGAAGATTAAGGGATAGACTCCACAAATATTAATGAATTTTTAACCTATTTAGATTTTTGAAATAAAATTGAAGTCATCTTTTGAATTGTGATGCCGGACAGAATAGTAATTATTCTGCAAGTTGGAACTAATAGACAATAACAGAGAAGAATGCAAGAGAATAACACCAAGAAAAACGACAAAATCGTTATTATTCAACAACTGAACGAAAATAACCTACAAGGCGGGTTAAAAAGTTAGAAAATAATAATTATTGGAATTTTACCAAAAATAGCAAAATCTTATTATTCATACCAAAAGAAAATACGTAATGAGAGAAATAAGATCCCAAAAATATGGTTTAATTTGAGATCGTAATCTATGTCAAAAATGAAATCGAAATATTACTAAAAATGATTAAAAAAAAACTTAAATTGATGATTCGGAAGGGAAAACAGCTGAATTTGGCTTCGAAAGCAATGTATAGCTCGGTGACCACGACGTGCGCGCCGGAAATAGATTTTCGAATTGGGGTCATGGGCGTGATTCTGACGACCGTAGCCAAAATTATGGCCAAAATACCTAGACGTTTCCAAAAACGGACCCAATTAGGAAATGTCGATGATTATTTGCCAATTTTGCGCTGATCCACCAACTCATGGTATCTCAGCGCCATTAACGTATTATCAGACAGCTCAGCCTAGTCGACTTGGATTCTCCTGCATCAGTCGCCTCGGGTTGGAAAGAACTCGTCCTCGAGTTCACTTGAATGTCTTCAGGATCTCCAAAACAAGGACCGAGGTGCTTCACATTGAAGACATCAGACGTCTTTAAATGGTTGGGGAAGCGTAGTCGGTAAGGGTTATTGTTGATCTTCTGCAGAGCTCACAAGGACCATTCTTTATGCTCTGTCAATTTATTATACACCCCAACAGGAAAACAATCACAATTAACACTGCCCACAAAAAATCACCAACTTCGAAAATGACCGACAACGAAGACTGAACCTTGTACTTGGCATTAATCTCTTGAATGGCTAACTTCACTTGTTCATGGATTCCCTAAAGGTGTTCTGCCATCTCATTTGCTTTGTGACTTATATGACCCACACGTGGAATAGGGGCTAAATCAAGGACCCCAGATAGAACCCGACCGTAGACAATCTCAAATGGACTCAACCCTGTGGTTCTATTCTTTGACCTGTTATAGGCAAATTCTACCTGAGATAATGCCAAATCCCACTGCTTCGGCTTAATTCCTGTCAGACTTCTCAATAGATTACCCAAGCTCCGATTTACCACCTCGGTCTGACCATCTGTTTGGAGGTGGTAGACGCTGCTAAAATTCAACTATGTCCCCAGTTTCTCCCATAAGCTTCTCCAAAAATGACTTATGAAGTTAGTGTCGTGATCAGACGCAATGGAATGAGGCACACTATACAAACGCACAATATCTTTGAAGTAAAGATGGGCAATCCGGGTAGCATCCATTGTCTTCCGACATGCTATGAAATGGGCCATCTTTGATAACCCGTCAACCACAACAAAAATAGAATCTGAGGCCCGTTGGATACGGAGAAGTCCCAATACGAATCCATACTGACATCAACCCAAGGCACCTCAGGCACGGGCAAAGGTGTGTAAAGACCCGCATTAGTAAGAGTCCCTTTGGACCGCTTGCACACATAACAAAGCCCAAAATAGTGAGCCACGTTACTACTCAATTTGGGCCAATAATAGGTAGAGAAAATCAATGCAGGTGTCTTATCCCATCCAAAATGTCCTATATTATGAAGTTCACTAACAATATGCTGCCTTATTGAACAATCTAGAACACACAACTGTAATCTGTTAAAATAAATACCCATTATGCAAAACGAAATCATGTCGCTGAATGTTATTTACCTCCTGGATTATCTTCTTGAAGAAAGGTCAGCAACATTCATATCCGAAAAAGTCTCAAATCCCACGACATTGGTGCTCATGGTGATGAGAAGTGATGTACGATGACTCAATGCATCCGCAACACAATTCAAGCTCCCAGCTTGGTGCCTTAGTGAAAATGTGAACTCCTGCAAGTATGCCACCC